AATTAGACTCCTACATGAAGGTTATCTTTTCTTTCAGCCTAAGAAAAATCTTGTCTTCCATTTACCTGTTTTTACAGTTACTGAAAATTCTGCCTTATATATTCCAATCTAAATTATAGCATTTAATATCACCAGCTTTATAAAAAATAATTTAGCTTATGCTCATTCTCTCTTACTATAATGTAATAATTTTTATTTTTCTTGATCAGCCGTTTTTTGTTTTTTTGTTTTTTTACCTTGTGAATTCTGTGTATTTTTAAGAAATAATTGTTTCCTTCTTTACTTCTACTGCTAGGAAACTCAAAGTCAAATAATGCTTCTCTGAATCACTTCACAGTGTTCAGACTTCACATTAGGCTCATCTTGGTCTTTTACATTTGTCATGTAACATTTATTGTTTTTTTCTTATTTGCCTATAATTTGGTTGCTTAGAGCTTAGAGCTCAGGGATCAAAGATGAGTCTAAATTATAGTTCTTCCACTTTACTAGAGGTGTGACATTAGTTTGGTCTGTTCTCTGAAATTTAGGTATTCATCCATAAAATAGAGATTACTGTAATACAGACCTATTAACACTTTAGTGAGTGTTACAGCTCAGCCAGGGCTAGGTACATAGAAAAATGCCCCCCAAAATAAGTATTAATAGAATAGAATCTTCCTCATTACTATATGATCATTAATCATCAGTGTTATTTATTATTATTATTATTATTATTATTCAGACTTTCTTGTTGTACTTCATCTGCTTTCCATTCATCATCCTTTTCCAATTCTTAGCTTAAACATATTTGGAAACAGTGCAGGGTACAGAATAAAGAAGTAAATAAGGCAAGGATATGCACCTTACTTAGGGAAGATGGACCAACTAGTGATGTTGCTGTGTATCTGTATGGGGCACATGTTAGGGAGGACTCCATGATAGATGAGAATATTTCAGGTGCATTCTAGAAAAAATGTGATATCATATAAATGATTTATGCAGTTGGGCTATGGAAAAAAGATAGGATAACATTATTACTTAGCCAAAGGAAAATGTCCTCTATTGCCATGTCATGAGCAGGGATGTAAAACAGACAACATCAGCCATGATAGGTAGCCCCAGTCACTACAGAAAACACAAGCTGGGCTTCAATGTTATAGAAAGCATACAGATTAGAGGTGAGGCATCACAACAATGATCCTTTTATCCATGCCACCATTTGCATTAGTCAATGAAATGGAACAAGCGCAAACATCAGGGTTGTGAAATCACAACAAGATGTGTTATTTCAATGCTGGTGCACCCCGTGTGCATGTGCACCTCTTTAGTCTGCTCCAGGCTGAAAGCTGGCAGGCTGCCAGAGCAGGTGCAATTTCGTTAAAGTCCTTTAGCTGTTTTTCAATTTAGCAATGTGCACAGACATAAAATCTTGCACGTCTCCTTTTTTCCGCACATTTGTGAATTAAAATTAGCCAAATTATTAAGTGGATTGTTTCTAAACTAAAGATGCCAAGAAATTCAAAGTATGGTAATCATGGGAATGAGGGATTTTTATGGTGGCATTTTGGGCCTCGATGCAGAATTGAGGCCCTCCAGTGGGTTTCCCAAGTAATTTAATATTACAAAGTAGAGGTGAAAGTTTTCTTTCCAGATTTTCATAATTATTTGGAGAGAGCGAAGACACTCTCCACAGGATATACTTTTCCAAGGAATCTCCACTAGGAACTCCTGTCCTCTCTCCGAGCCTCTAATGTGTTTTTCTCTGTCTCTGTCTCTCTGCTCCCCACGATTCTTTTCTTCCCTCCAGGTTCCCACCCTATTACATACTCTATCCCCATCGCTTCCCCCCCCCCCCGCCTTTTACTATGTAGGGATATTTGCTGAATATTCTTGGTCATTTAAGTATGCTGAGTGCTTCAGCTTTCACCCCGTTATTTTCACTTGGCCTTTCATGAATAAATGTAGGTTTCTCCATAGGGAAGAGTTCTGGTGATTAGAATTTTCTTTCTTTTTTGCATACATAATTGTGCATTTACATAGATTCTATATTTGAAATGTGTATCTTTAGGGGTTTAGCTTGGATCATGGTTTAAATACCCAACTTGTTAGGATATTTTGACTTAATGAAACTGTATGGGCTAAAATAATAGTGCTCTGGTCTTTTGCCATTTGAAATACTGTATTGTTTAACAAAATGGCTGAGCAGAGCATGACCATAGGCAACATAAGTGATCAGCTTATAATGCTTGGCTTATAAGAACCCTAATAGATTCTAGCTGTAATAATCAATGCTCTGGATTTATCATTGCTCTAATAAAAAAATTTACAATAGATTTCTATTACAAAGGGCTCTGTGAAGGTAGGATCTTGGTGTGATATATATACTGCTATCTCCTCTGTGCTTAGAACAGTGGATGGAACATAAAAATGTGTTTAATACATGAATAATACAGGTTAAAACCTTCATCAGTCAGGATAGGCTTAGTTATGCTGTAATAACAAATAGCCCCAAAGTCTCAATTGCTTAAAGCACAAACTATTTCTTATTCATTATGTACATCCACTATGGGTTTTAATGGAAAATGGGAGGCTCTACTCTTTGTAGTCATTCATGGATCCAGGCTGAGAGTGCAGCTGGTCCCTGTTCAAGAGGCAAAGAACAATCTGGGGGTGAGGGGTTTCAACACTTAAATGCTCCAGCCTTAAAGCAGTACCATGACACCTTGTTGACTGACAGTTTAGGGTCCACCCAACCGTGAAGGACATGAAGGATCAGGAGGTGCAATCCTACAGTTGCCAGGAAGTAGAAGAGCCCTAACTTCTTTGAAAGGTATGAAAGTAGTTTCACTTTTAGTTGGGAGAATGGACTAAGTTGCCTTAAATGTCAATATGTATTGATGCTTATATTATTAGGACAAATGATAATTGTCTGCAATATAATTGACTACAGTGTTCTTGATAGAAAAACAATGGAACAGCATTGATATTCTTGTTTTACTACATACATACATACATAGAAATTCACTTAAACCTGAAAGAGCAAGTATTCCTTCCAATCTTTTTTTTTTTTTTTTTAAATTTTAATTTTCAACAATTCCTATCTGAGTGCCCTGAACATAATCCATAGAACATGTTTCAAGTTTATTAAATTGAGTTGAATTCAAGATAAGTAAATATATTGAGCCTTAATTGAATCCCTAGAAATGAAGAAAATAATGGTTACAGATTTTCAAAATGGTAGCCTTTATTGGCAAATGCGAACTTCCTTTTCATTTTAATTTATTAGTACAGCAAAAAACAAAACCAAAAGCCATCATAAGGCAAAGACCAGCCTCTACACTGCTATTTTCCAAATGCCTGGAATGGACTCAATATTTGCCTCTTAAATGAGTGGATGACTTTCTGAGACTGTCTTAATGTTAAAAAAGAAAGAAAGAAAAGAAAATGCAATGGTGAACTTTGGGGGGTTTGTTTTTCCATGAATTGTTTTATCCCAGTATTTAAGAGATGGACTACTAAAACCCAGCACTGGGGCTTGAAATCTGCTCCAGCACTTCTAGCTCTATTACCTTGAGCAAATTTCTTAATCTCCCTCCCCCCTCTCAGGTTCATTGTTCACGAAATGGAGACAATAACAATATGAATCTGGGGTTAGTAAAAAGGATTGAGTTACATCTTACAGGAAACATACTATAGAGTAATGCAGCTGGTGAAGGCTGAATAAACATTAGCTGCTGCTACTGATGTTATTATTATTTTTGTCTTGATATTGCGTAGTCCGTGTCAACTTTATATATTCATCAATACAACAATAATGAACCACAGAAATAAACCATGCAATACCAACTAGAACTTTGGTGTTTCTGATTAATTTTTAACTGTAAGATTAGTAATCACTGTTATCTTGAAATCTGTTTATTGGTAAGGTTTACTAAACAGTTGTTACGTTACAGAGCTATTGTGTGTGCATTTTGCAGTGTGAAAGGCCAGTAGGAAAGACTGATGAGTCTGAGGGGTCCCTCACTCTCATTCTAGAAAAGATAATGGCTTCCCAAGATTCACTGCAGCACTGAACCTTCTTTATAGTGCCTGCAAAAGGAAAGAGAGTATTCTGAAGCATTTCAAAAGGTTTTTGAGAGAGGAACATAATAAGAACTAACTTGATTTTGAAAATAATATGGAACACTAGACAGTATAGTTTATGACTGTAGAGAGGCACATCAATCTTGTTCTCTGCCTTGTCGCCATGCATCTACACATAGTAGGTGCTTTATAAGGGATTTGTGAAATAATTGAATGAGTATTTCCAAGAATCATTGTTAGTGCAATCTATAAGTGACAACCCAGTCACCTTATGTGCATTGTTGATGTTTAGGTACAATTCAAACACACTGGATTTCCAAAGAAAAAGTGTTCAAACCATAGCACTAGAAACAAAAGCTTGAGCTGAATGTTTCCTCTCCCCACCCCAGCATGTTATTTGATAAAGAGGGAAATTTAAAATAATGCTTTTGGCATATTTCTTTGTCAAAACCCAGTCTTCAATGATGAAAATGTCATATTTCTATTTATTAAACATGTTTACAAACTCAGGTTTTTATTGAGCTTATGCATATAAACATGCATATTGTATTCCAGATATCCCATATTCCCAGATTTAGTTGTCAAAACAATCGGGAGATAAATTTATATAAACTTACCAATATTTTTGGTTAACTTACTGGTTATAAGAACATTAAGGGGTTAGAAATGGCTCATATTTCACTTTCCCATTACTGTTAGAAGTCTCGTACCCATTAACACTATAGTATTTTTCAGGATGATTTTTTCTTTTGTTTCTCCTTCCCACTTTAGTCTTTTTGGCAAATGAGTATTATCGGCAAAACCTCTAACATAACGTACCAGGCAGTATAGTGTTACAGTGCTTCTTGAGTTGGGGGGAAGAGTTAGTGGGGCAGGTATTACAATTCACTGTAGCTACAATAGAGGGTAATGTCACTTTAAGACATGTGATACTTTACAGAGGAGGGATGTATTGAAACAGACTACTGCTACTTACAGCACCACGGTATAGCAGCCCAGCTCCTACATTTTGCTGCCTTACTGTGCCCCGAATGCACTGGAGAGGGGATGGTCCATCGTTAATTATAAACTGATTCTCATCAGGAAACTGCACATTATCTCACCATCACTTCAAAGGTCTCCTCAGGCAGAGGTGACGCCAGATGATTTAAAGGTGAAAATGACAAGGTTTTCACCCCTCAAACCTTGGCTCCTTTTTTGACAATACAATCTGAATGAACCTGATGTCTCCTTTATTGTGGAAATAGCATCAGAAGAGAAAAACATATTTTTTAAAATCCTGATAAAGAAGACTGTTGGGAAGCTCTTTCAAAAAATCTCCGATTGTGGCACAGATGGATTTTAGAAAGTGTTAGAGATTTCCAATGAGCACTAATAGAGTGCTCTGCTCTTGGCTGGATTTTTCAGGTAAGAAGCCTCTTTTAAGGGTTTACGATTCAGAGAGCAGATTTGTGACCTATTCAGTCATTTCTAGAGAACTATGTAAGGCTGCATGCATTATTTGGGGGGAAACAACTATTAACATACAGACAACCTCTTGGTGAGAGAGTGAGCAATGGGAGCAATATGCAGAAGCCTTGGAAGTAATGCTGAGATCTAAAGAAAGTTAAATGAAAAAAAGGAAAATCCTGCAAAGGTTAAGTCAGAGTAATCTTTCTGAGTGCTAAGATCAGTAGGTGATGAAATGAGCAGGAGAAGGCAGGAACTGAAAAACTGTTAAGTTTTGATTGTGGTAGGGTTTTTTCAAGTTTACATTAATTCCTGCTGCATTTTAACTGATTGACAAGCAGTCAATGCATGCCAGTCACCTCAGTTTTATCTTTCTATAATTTTCAGGGTATTTTGAAAAGGCCCCCAAATGCATTCATTCAGGATTCACAGGAGGGTTATTGCTATTTATCTGCTGAGAATGAATCTATGCTACACTGACAGTTCTGAAGACAATGAGGCTAAATCTGTTGTATACAAAAGTAAACAGTGGGCAGTGAAACTAATTATAAAGTGAATGGTCCATCTGAATCACAGACTGGGGTATGAAAAGCACCATGCTGTTGAAAATAATGTTTTCCTACTTTGCACTTAATTATGGTTGTCACCATTTGTCTATTATAGTCCTAAAATCCTTCTTAAAGACATCTCTCTTAAAACCCATAAATTATCTTGTATTATGTCTATATACACATACACACATAATGTATATTTTTGCTTCCTGAACATTACAGTTTTTGAAAGAGTACCAATTTCTATGAATAAAATAGACACAATGGGAGGTCACTAGGCGGTTTTAAATGTAGAGTTGAAATACTTGAAATGTATCATTTGACAATGGAGAAAATTTAAAAGAAAAGAAATAATCTTAGTTCCAAAGCTCTCTCTGTCTAATAGAAAAGCATATACTTTAAGTGGATTCTTGTATAGAAAATGCTTCCATATCACTGGCTAAGAATGATGCTTCAAGTTGATTAATTTGGCAATATGAAATGCAGCAGAAGGTGTTGTTTGAGAAATTGGACAATATGTAGTGCAGCTGAGCCTTTGTAGCTCTAAGATTTGTATAGGTGCAGATAGGACTGTCAAAGTTTCAGCGCCTGTGAAAAGGTGTATGTTCATCCATAAATACATACACCACCTGTATATGCATATTCATCAACACTATACAAAATGCCACAATGGGCTCTTAGGAGGCAAAGCAGGATTGTAAATTATGGCTTGCTCTATGGCAGAAGACAGATCTTGCATCTGAAACTCATTCTGGCTGAAGACAATTCCTTCTGATTTTAAATCCAGCGAAAAAGACTAATTCTATCAGGAGATTACAACATGCCTCTGAGAAATGATTACTTAGTTTAGAAGATAGCATAGTGATTAAAAATTCATGACTGTAGAATTAAAAAAAAGAATCCACTCTTTCAGGCTTATGTCAGACTTACAATGAACTTAGAATGAACAGGACTATGCAGCTTTTCAATGCTTAGAATAACTGTAATTTAAAGATCACTGTGTAAAACAGGATGTTTAGTTAGGATACTATGTTTCAAACTGCCTAAGTCATGGACAAACTTGAATTTATTTTTGTATTTTGACCATTCTTGGAGTTTGGTTTTGCTGAACTTCAAAAATGAATTCATGATCTTCTGGAGAATGCTTTCCTTCAATCCCACTTCATGGCATGACCTCTGCTGGGTCATTTTCTCTAGTAGCAAAGGGGCATGACGTCTGAGACGCCCCTTCTGTCATCAGTAGAACTGACTGAGCTGGGGGCTTGAAGCTGGGGCTAATCTTTCCGTCTAATGTTCTCCTCAGAGCATGGCCATGGTCTCTGCGATGTCCTGGGCCCTGTATTTGTGGATGAGTGCGTGTGCAGTGCTGCTCTGCCACGGAGCCCTTCAGCACACTTTCCAGCAGCACCACCTGCACAGACCAGGTAAGTGGGCGCTGGCTCCCTAACAGATGGTTGAAGGCAAGTGACATAAAGTGCTCCAGCCTGGGCAGCCTGCCTCTGAATTCCAAGACATGTGGTTGGCTGGATGCTTTGGGGAAAGAGGGGTTACTAAAAGGACTTGGAGGTATTTCCAGTAACTTCTCAAAAATGAGGTTTTCTCTAAAAGTTGCTCTCCACCCCTACATACCTATAAGGTAGAGGTCCTTTGTTTTTAGACACTTTGGCCAAAAATAAAATATTCAGTAAAAGGTGGAATAATTTTCAAGACCTGAGGATTTTTTAGGGAGGCAAAATATGGTCTTTGTAACTGATAAAATAATGTGCGTATTCTCGGGATGCACTTTTCTCTAGCATGGATATTACAATCTGGGCATGTATGTGGCTAAGGATTTGTGGGGATGTTGGTGCCAAAACTGACTTTGGAAATAGTTGGTCCATGAGAAAGAAATTAAAAAGTAACTTACTATTTCTTGTCTGGTTTAATGTGTCTTCTTTCCTTTCTCCCTTTCTTCACTTTCTGTGCTTCCGGAATGCTCCGTGGCTTTCCTCTCTCTGTTGGCAGTTGTTTCGGGGACAAGTTCCCTTTAGCCTCCCACCCCACCCCACCCCACCCCACCCCCAACCCCGCTAATTGAATTTTGAGCTCCAGAAGCATTTTGCTCTCTTGGTCTTTCTGTTCAAAGTATATTTCTACCCTTTCATGGCCTCGCTCCTAATCTGGATGTTTTCCCCTCCTTTGCCTCTCCAGCTTTCTCATGACTATCCCCCGGCTCGATTGTCCCTACCCGCCCTGGTTCTCAGAAAGATTTCCGTCCATTTTCGGTTTAGCTTCAGCCTTTGCATCCATTTACTGCACCCTCCACCTTCGCCCCTCCGCCCCCACCTGGTCTGAGCTCTGGGGACCGGTTGCACGCCCAGGCTCTCGATCCTCAGTTCCCAAGGCTCCCAGCCCGCCATCCCCCTCCCCAAATCCCTTCCCGGCCTCCTCGCCTCGGCCTGGCTCCCCCACGCTGCACCGCCCAATGCCCGTGCCTCTGCCTTCCCGGGCTCTGCAGCCGGCCAGGCACCAATCCTGGGCTTGTCCGCAGTCCTCCAGCAGCACCTGCCGGGGCGCTGCCTGCATCTCCCGGGCTCGCCTTCAGGCTGGGGCCAGATCCAGAGCGCGGGTGCAGGCCGGTCCTCCGGCTGCCAGCCCCTTGGTGCCGCCCGGGCCGCCTCCGGACCAGGACGGGGCGGCCTGAGATCTGGGCGAGGCAGGGGGCTGCCTGCGGGTCCTGGACGGAGGAGGGAGGCGAGGGGCGCTGGTGCCCCTGCAGGTGGGCCTGGAAAGCGCTCTGCCGCCGAGCGCGCTGGCATTGCTGCCGGTGCCGGAGCCCGAGCGGGCTCCGCCAGACGCTGCGGCTTCAGTGCCCAGGTGCAGGGACAGCAAAGGTGGCTCGGCAACCCCCAAGTTGTCTCCGGTCAGTTAATTAGCGATCTGTTCTGGCAAAAATATCTTTGACTTATTACGTAATCACTCAAATAATGCGGGAAATCTGAATTCGTTGTAACACGTAACAGTAAGAACACAAAACAAAACAACTGTTGTGAGTTTCAGTTGCCCCAAGGTTAATTCCCATTGTTTGGCTCGATCCTTCCGCACGCAGGTGTGATCTCCCTCCGCTCCTTCTCCTTTGCTCTGGAGACTGAATTCCTGAGGGAAGGGGTTACTGTCTGGGACCACAGGACCAGTAACTGCCACTGGTGGGCGGGTCAGTCTGATTTCACCTCCAGCGCCTGGTTCCCGCGGAGGAGACACCGTAATGTCTCTCAGTGCAGAGAAGGATCATGCCAAGGAGCCTCTGAGGAACTGGGGGCCCCTTGGCGTCACTTGTGAAAACTTTCAAGTTATGGCAGTACCTGGACTCATCTGAACTGCACACCCGTTCTGAAAGGAGGCCGTGGCGGAACTGCTGGGGCCGGACGTGATGGTGGCAGAGCTCAGGACTGGCCACCATCTCTGTCACTGAACATCACTGACATGACCTTGGAGGAGTCACTTTTCCTCTCGGGCTCACTTTCCCCTTTAGAGATGTAGTGGGGGTGTAAATGAAATAATCTTTTTAAAGTGCTTTGTAAACTGTAAAGCTCTTCATAAATACCAGAAATTACTGATATCACCCCACTAAATAGACTAAATACAGACATGTTAGGGATGTTGATGACCAAAATTTGCTGTTCACATATCCGCATAGTCAGGTCAAAAACTTCTTTTTTACTCTTGCTGTTGTTTTTTAACTCTATGGTACCTGGCTAGAATATATCGCCCAGCGTGACGTGTCTTACTTCACTCTCTGTGTATATAGTCATGAAACCAGTACAGTCTGCAGTGAGTTTCACAGACACTGTCTCTAATAACCAATTAATCTTTGAGATTTTTTTTTTTTTTTTGGTGAGGGGTTATGACTATGCTACTTGTTATAAGTAAACTTATGTCTTCAAGGGGCTTATTATACAAATATTATAATTTTAAACTCAGAAACACATCATTAGGTTCTGACTGAAATGACACTCAGTATTAGTTTTCTTATCATCTACCCTTAGAAACTGCTTATTATCGCCAATGTGTGGTGTTACGTCATCAATCTGTACTTCAGTTACCCCAGCAAACTCTAGCACTGAAACCAATTTCGACCCCAAGTGCTTATACATTTGAGACTCGTTTCAGATTCATTGATGAAACAAAGAAACTATAAATACTTCTTTCTAGATACAGAAAGATTAAATGTTATTAAATTGAAAGTCCAGTGTATGTAATATGTTTATTCAACTTTCTTGGGTTTTCAAGAATAGCTGAAAAGATTAAAGCAATAGATCTTAGACATAGCAATATTTTCGATAATTTCATTCAAAAAGAGTCTTCGTGAATACAGTCTTTTGTTTTGATTTTAAAAGTAAATCTATGCTTTTTGTGATGAGAGTTGGGATGTTTCCCTTTGTGAGTCTTAAATCTTCAGGGACACTAATGAAATGTGTATAAAACAGGAGAGAAATCAGGCCAGTTCTCTGTCACAGTCCACCTCTAAATGAGCAAATAAATAAATAAATAGCTGGATAAATGAGCAAAAAGGAAAAACATAATCTTATTTTCTCAAATCTGTTAAAACAAGTGACTTGATGAGAAAAAATGAGACACCAGCAGACCCCGAGCTTTGCCACATTTGCCTAAGCTTGAAAAATCGTCTCTTTCACAAAGCAGAGCAGGAGGCCCCAGTGTGCATACCAAGTATTTAGGAAATGTGAGAAATGACAGATCTTTCACTCAGGACCAGGATGGAGGGAGAGTGAAGGGTTACTGCTGCCTTGTCACCTGCTTGGCAACAGCTGGCCCCTCTCGCAGCTTCTACCAGGCAGCCTCGCCAGCCCCCCCTGTAAGATTGGTGGCTCTCTGATTCCAAGCAGCGAATCTCAGTCTCTCAAGAAATAACCCACCACACTGACAGATAAGTGGAATTTGATGCGATGCTCCCCTCTTTCAGGTCAGATTGTGCAGCACCTGGATGGCACCAGCCAGCCCGATCCTTCAGAGGAAATGATTAGGGATTTGGGCCAATTTCTGCTGTCAAAACATGAAAGCAGGAACGTGTTTGTGTGAGGTCGTGAATTTGTGATCTGTCTTCTCAATGCAGTGGGTTTGTACACAAACAGAATAAGAATATGTTCCCTAGAAAACTGACTGATTTTAATATATTGCCCTGCAGTCTTTAAGTACTTTCAATTTTTCATACTTATAGTATTAGGAATGCACCATTTATTTTCAGTTACTCACTAGTTAAGGAAGATTAAAGCAGTCAATCAAATGAAAGTGAATTTTAAAATTACACAAATGAGTAAAATGTGCTATAGATTAACAGATTTGTAATTTCAATAATTTAATATTTGGCTAAATCACATTTTTACTTTGGGAATAATGTAGGAAATTACTATAACAACTTGAAGAACACTCATGCCTGTTTATATACAGCGATAAGGAGGGCACTTCATTTAAAAAGGCAGATTGAACAGTGGGACCTTGGAAGCAGTGTTCCATTGTCCAGGTGGTTAAAACAGCTTCAGCTCCTTATAATCACCAGTTGCTGAGTAACATATAAAACAGGATGAATGGTTTGCTAAATATAACTTTCTAATTTAGCATTCGTTTTTTTCCCCTTATGAATATATGAATTATGACAGCAATTTAAATGGTTACTTAATTTCAGATGTGGGTGTGTATGTGAAGGGTTGTCCTTGAAACTTAATAAAATATGGTTAATTTAAAAATACTTTCGTGACAAAAGATCCTTGAGCGTCTCTAGTAATTTAAAATTATGTAGATAAATTACATGAGACAAGAAGTTATAAGTGCCTAATGAATCATTTATTCTGCGGTCACTGCTATTTTATTGACAGGGATGTAGGGAAATGATATATAAAAAGATTACTCTGAATGGAATCATCTGTGTAACTTATACTTGGCCTGATTTAAAGCTATATTAAGTAAACTATATTTAGAAGTATTCATTTATGACTTAATTATTATATACTGAATATTACCGTTCATTTTAAAAAATGTTTTTTTAAATTGAAATATTAAAAAGCATTCTTGTATGCTTTGTACTTATTTTTATCTCATTGTTCCATATTACTTTATTAAAAGCTGCCGAAGGCATATGCATTAGAATACCAGGTGCATTGCAATCAATAATTGTTGTATAATTGTAATATAAAAGAAATAATGAGAACAATCGTAGCAGCATATTGGCTTTTTAAGAATTTGTACTGGTATTAGGTTGCTAAGTGTATGGATTGGTGTATAGTTTAGAGCAGACAGGTTGTTATTTGGTGTAAACTGATGCTGGTGATAATCCATTGATCATCTGTTTGATAATATTGGCCTCATCCCAGAGTCAGAGTGCAATTATGCACATTTCCCAAGACCCTGAAATTTTAAAACCAAGTTAGAG